TTTTTTTTTAAGAGGCACGTGTTTAACTGAATGTCCTATGAACATGGAATGTTTCTCTTGCCTCACTTGCTGCCACTGGATCAATTCTGACTCCTAGCAACCCTATAAGGCAGAGTAGAATTGACCTTGTGGGTTTTCCAAGACGAACTCTTTGCAGCGGTAGAAAGACTCACCTTTCTCTAGTTTCAAACTGCTAACCCAGCTCGTAACCCATTGTGCCACGGGGGGCTCTGGTTCCCTTGCCTGTTGTTGGGTGCCATCAAGTCTGTTCTGACCCACCTAAACCTATGCCAGAAATGAATACTGAACGTAATGGAGGGCAGAGAGCATGTGGCTCCTCTTGTGGTCCAAATTGTACTGGATAGAAGAAAAGGGGAACCAGGATTTGCAGAAACAAAACACAAGCTGTTGGTTTGAATGCAGTGATGCACCTGTGGCCAGGTGCCTTGGGATCAGTTCCGACTCACAGCAAGCCTACGTCCAATGGAACAGATGCAGCCCCGTCCTGGGCTAGCCGGACAACAGCTGCTTTGTTTGAGCCGATTGTTGCCCCTCAATGTCCCTCCATCTCATCAGGGTCTTCTCTACGTCACTGACTCACTCTACCAAGACTGATAACCTTCTCCAGGGACTGGTCCGTCCTGATAATGTGCCCAAAGTCTGTGAGATGAAGTCTCGCCATCCTTGCTTCTAAGGAGCATTTTGGCTGTTTTTCTTCCAAGAAAGATTTGTTGGTTCTCCTCCCAGTCCATGGTATATTGCATATTTCTCACCAACGCTGGAAACTTGCTCGGTCTTCCCTACCCATTGTGCAGCCTTTGCCTTCCGATGAGGTCAATGAACACACTGTGGCTTGGGTCAGGTGCATCACAGTTCTCAAAGTGACATCCTCACCTTTGAACTTTTAAAGAGATCTTCTGCGGCAGAGCGCTCAGTGCGATATGCCATGTGATCGCTTGACTGCTGCTTCCATGAGTGTTGATTGTGGACTGAAGCAAAACGAAATCTTTCCAGCCAACTTCAATGTCTTCTCCACTTATAATCATGGTGTCCATCGGTCCAGTTTTGGGTTTTATGTACATTGAGTAGTAATTCATACTGAAGGCTATATACACACCAGGGGATACCACCCCCACCCCCC